ATAACCCTATCAGCAAGGTTAAAATTGTAACAGGGGGTTGTAGAAAACTTTTTTCTTTTATTGAACCCTAAATAGATTATTATATGATAAACATCGGTTTCTCCGGGCTGACGGGAGGAGGTCCAAGCATCTCCGGTTTCGAGATTGGTTCGGACGGAGCTGGAGATGGTTCGGACGGAGCCAGAGTATGGTTTGCATTGGAGATTGAATATATAATATTAGAGGATCCGACAACATTCTTAGTGTTATCCTCTCTTCTCTAGGAAACGCATTGAAGCTAACTAAGCGTAATTTCAAGTGACCCTTCATGCAAGATTGCAGTGGTCGATTCACAACAGGTTCCCTTGACACCTGTATCTGTTTAATATTTTAGAAGATATTGTCGTTTTTTAAGGTTTAAAATGGTCAAATTCTGATAATTTCAAAATGATTTCCTGCAGGATGGAAACCACAATTGAAAATAATAATTTTTCCAAATCATAAAAATTGATAAATTATTCATGCTTGTCATAACATTTAAGGATACTGTCGTGAATCGGGCAGTTCTATCTTTGCATGAAGGGTCACTTAAAGTTACACCTAACAGTTTCTATCAGAATTTAAAAAAAAAATATTGAAAATGCAAAACATTATATTTGATAATTGTGAACACTTTATTGGACTATTCAGAGAAGACTTGTATTTAAGCAACACTTTACAAATAGAGTAACAGCGAACACATAATAGCACTTTTATTGTTGTTAATCAAATGCTAATAACTCGTTGTTGTGTTAATCGTGGCAGTTTTCTTTCAAGTTACATTAAAAAACTCGCCGATATTTGAGATTTGAGATACACCATGTCAATTACGTTTATGTATTAGGAACAGATCTGAATTGCTAACCTTTTCATTCCCTACCTTCCCTGGTTGTTTTCAACCCCTCCCCTTCCTTGTCCATCCTTATCTTTCCTTTTTTTTTCCTACGCTCCCATTCCCATTCCCACCTTCCCTTTTTTACCCACCTTCCCCTTCTCTTTCCAGCCTTTTCTCTAACGTTCCAACCTTCTCTTTTACTTTCCAACCTTACCCATTCCACCTTCCCCTTCACACCTTCTCTTCCCACCTTCTCTTCCTACCTTCTCTTTCCCCCCTTTCCTACCTTCTCTTCCCACCTTTCCCATCTTCTCTTCCCACCTTTCTTCCCACCTTCTTTTCCCAACTTCTCTTCCCACCTTCTCTTTCCCCCTTTCCCACCTTCCCTCTGCTCCTTCCCTTTCCCACCTTCCCCTTCCCCTTCCCTGTCCCCCTTCCACTTCTCTTTCCCACTTTCCCCTTTCCAACATTTCCCTTCGCTTTCCAACATTTCCCTTCTCTTTCCAACATTTCCCTTCACTTTCTAACTTTCCCCTTCTCTTTCCAACATTCCCCTTCTCTTTCCAACATTCCCCATCTCTTTCCAACATTCCCCTTCTCTTTCCAATTTTGCCCTTCTCTTTCCGACATTCTCTCTCTTTTCAACCTTCCCCTTCTCTTCCAATATTCCCCTTTCTTATCCAACCTTCCCATTTGCATTCCAAACTTCCCCTTTTTTCTTTCCAAGCTTCCCTTTTCCTTTCCAAGCTTCCCTTTTCCTTTCCATGATCCTTTCCTTTCGAACCTGCCTCCTTCCTATCCAACCTTCCCCTTCCCTTCCCCCTTCCCCCTCCCTTCTTATTCCTTTTCTAACTTTCCCATTCCATCTAAAATTCCCTTTCTCTTTCCAACATTCCCTTTCTCTTTTCAACATTCCACCTTCCTTTCCAACATTCCCCATCTTTCTCCAATATTTCCCATTCCTTTCCAACATTCCCCTTTTCTTTCCAACATTCTCTTTTACTTTCAAACCTTCCCCTTTCCTATCCAACCTTCAATTTTCATTACCAACCTTCCCCTTTCCTATCCAACCTTCGTCTTTCCTAACCAACCTTACCGTTTCCTATCCAACCTTCCTCTTGCAACCTTCCCCTTTCCTTTCCAACCTTTCCCACCTTCCCATTCCCTTTCCCACATTTCCCTTTACTTTCCTACCTTGTCCTTCCTTTTTCAACCTTCCCCTTCCTTTTCATACCTTCCCCTTCCTTTTCATACCTTCCCCTTCCTTTTTCTTCCTTTTCCCACCTTCCCTTTCCCACCTTTCCCTTCCCTTTTCAACCTTTCCCTTCCCTTTCCCACCTTCCCCTTCTCATTCCAACCTTCCCTTCCCTTGTCAACCTTTCCCTTCACTTTCCAACCTTCTCTTTTACTTTTCAACTTAACCCTACTAAACCTTTGCCTTCTATTTTCAACCTTCTCCTTCACTATCATCCCCTTCGATCCTTCCTCGTCTTGCATCTTTGATTTATTTGATTGGGTGGGGGAGGAATTATAAATTTAAGAAGCGATTTTTATCTAAGTTCTTTATCATTGAACATTGAAGGATTAATCATTCTCAGTTTAAGGTTTAGAAGACTCTTTTAAAACATTTGTGGATGTATGATGTACATTTTATTTAAGATTTACATAAAGGGGATGACTTTCAGGAAAATGTGGTTTTTACAAAGTTTTACATGTTATTTATATCATTTTTTATTATATTAGATGCTATAATGATTATATATTGCAGCCAAAGTCTGGAGAAACCCTATTATTAAAGAGGAGGATAGATAATTTAGAAATATTGAATATAAAGGGACTAGAGACGTAATTTAAATTAACTATGCGCGTTTCTCTTTGAAACGTGAAAAAAACACTTCTGAAATCAGTAAATACTACAAAAACTTCGATATTATTGATCAGGGAAGGGTATATAAGTACTGATGTGAACCAGGCACACCCCTTTTTAAACGGAAGGTCTATTTAGATTAAAAGGACGGTCCCTTTGGGAAGTGAACATAAGACATGAAGCCTTAAGATAACATTATTAAAGAAAATGTACATTCTTTTTTTTTGTTGCAAAATTTCGGTTTATTTATTTACAAAACTACCAACCTATTAAAAATAATACCTTATTTAGATTTATATTATCTTTGATGGAAAAAAAGTTTTTAACAGTTCAAAGTCAGCATTAAAATCTTACTAAATGAACACAATGATAATTTTAAAGAGGGAGAATGTTTTTCAAAAACATATTTCCCCCTTTACTTAAGTAGGATATAAACCCCTGAAAGAATGTTTGGAATTTACAATAAACAACATTTTTTCCATCATAACAACAATAAATATATTTTTATTTTTGGAAAAAACCGAAGACTTTTTGAAGCTTATTTTCCTTTTTAACAGCACTTAATTTTCTTATTTTTCCCTCAAAATAAATGTTATTTCAGATATAAAATGACGAATAGAAAATACAAAACTGATCAGAAAATCACCTAAGAAATTTGGAACATAATCGGAAACACAGGAAGAGTTGAAGAAAGATAATGTTTTTGCTGTTGCTTCTGGCTTTTTTTCCTGTTCTATCTAGTGGTAAGTTGGTATTACCAAAGAAGGCTTCTAGTGCACTTATAATCTACTAGCTGAAGTGGCCGACGTTTTGACCGTAGAATTAAAAAAATCTATTTCTAACAAGAAAAAAAAAATAAAAATTTCGCCTATGTTACCCATACAAATGTTCAGCCCATTCGGTTAATCCGTTTTGCGAGCTATAGGATCATATCATATCATTATAAATAGATATATAAAAATGATGGAAGAGCTTTATTATATACAGGATATACAGAGCGTCTCATATTATATTAACTTTAATGACTAAATAAACAGATAATACTCAAAAATCCTAGGTTTTAGTCCCTTTGAAAGGGGGTGTGAAGCGCCTTAAAATCCTGGTTACTGTAAATACAATCTGTTGTTTTGATTTCAAGTGACCCTCCATTTAAAGAAAGTCATGACTGATTAACAACAGTAACTTTTATTGGATTAATAATGTGAAAGTCTTATTTCCACTTAAAAGTGTTTTATTTTGAAAGCTACATTGGTTCTGCAATTGAACTCCTAGAGCGAAACATTTTTTCAGTCTTGACAAAGCTTCTTAAGGTACTGTTGTGAATCTGATATGGAACTCTATGGATTGAGGGTCGCCTAAAGTTAAGCTTAAAGCTTTTTTTAAATACTTTTTTAATCAAGAATGGCAAATTTTATTATATCTTGACAGTTTCATTTTAAACACGGCTGCAATCGGACAGAAACTATGACTAAGCAAAACAATGCCATTAACTTTCACGTTATTGATCAGATGGGCACTATTGTGAATCAGGCATGCTATCTTTAAATGTAGGGTAACTTGAAATAACGCTAACTGCCCTTGAATTGAAAATCAGATGACACAGATTTTGTATGTTTCTCATATAGTTTTCAAGTCATGTAACAACTATACGTCTGGAAAAAAAATCTTTGAGTTGGGTTAAATACGATATATTGCTAAGAAAAACTTTATAATATCTTTAATTTATGCACTGAAAAAAAATATATTTAAAAATTTTTTTTTTTCAAGAAGATTCTTTTAATATATTGAAGGAAAGAAGAGGAAACTGTACTGAAAGGTCTATTCACAGAAAGAAGATTGAGTATAAAATGCGTTTATTTCTAACTTTAAACCTATTTCTGGTCTTGAAAGAGATCTTACATTTATGAATCCCAGACGGATATTTATAAACATTTCGAAATATTATTAAGAAATTTTTAATGATACTTTAAACCTTTAAATGGTAAGGCTTAACTAAGATTTGATATAAAATACACTAAGTACACATATCTTGAGCTTTTCGTAAACTTAGGACAATTTTGCATTCTTAAAATATTTATAATTTTTTCAAGATGACACTTTTTGGCTCTGTATCATTTAACCTAGAGTATTAGCTTGGTATTTCTGCCTCGCTCTTACATTTTCGCCTCGTTTATTTTTGCCTCTTACATCTTTGTACAGTACATTTTCGCCCAGTAAGACTAGCTTGGAAAGCTAGCATTTTAGGAGATAAATATATTAATCAACCCACTCAACCTTGAACTGTCCAACCAAGCTAAGAACATTCCCGTGATACAACCGAGTCCCCTGATCAAAACTTAAGAAAATTAGTTGTGGGGTTCATGAGTTATGATCAGAATCCAAGCAAACAAACAGAGATCTCTTGAAAGCCCCAAAAGAAGGGATTGGGGGGGGGGGATTGAAAATGATGAAATTGCAAATGCCTTAAAGAACAGATATATGAGCACTTTTTGTAGTAAATGCCCTACTCCAACAAAGTCTTTTGGATCAGTATCAATCCAGGTACAACTCATCCCTCACGTTAATCCACAAGTCCTAAGAACTATTCCGTTTAATAATCAATTCCTCTGGTTAACCCACGAGGCCTAAGAACTATTCCATTCAATACAACTTAAGTATTAACGTCAATCCAGACACAACTGTATCTGTATTCTCAGTTATCTATGTTTCCAGAGCTGAAAACTTTAGAATGGATAAACTTTAATCCTGACTTCTTGATCCGAATATCCACTGTGGAAACTTTTCATTTTAGTCCTTAATTCACTCTTTTTCTCTCTCCTTGGATATCCGTTAATTGTTTTCTCCAATGAGAATATTTCTGTTCTCTCATTGGTTGCCCGCTTTTCTCTGATTGGCTGCTACAGTTTCTCAGATGATTAAATATTAATTTGAATTTTTTCGTTTTTCATACACTTTGTAATCTTGCAAGATTATGTTAATCTTGAGATTAAGAAAGAGTGGATTAAGCCTTAATCCCGATATCCACCATTCAAAGGTTCCCAGCTCAGATACTACACATTGTAGTTCCCAATCTATATTTATCTTTCAAGAAAGTGATTCAGGACTCTTCTTGTTCGCTAACCAAGAAGCATTACTTTCACACTGTAATCAAAGCGGAGTATTATTCCAACCGACGTTTATTTTGATTTCTATGTTACAGGTTAAGTTAATGAACATAATTACAAGTTTTGCATTGTTATTTACAATCGTAGTTAATCACAATACAGGTTTGTTTAGTTAATTACAGGCTTAGGTAGGAATTGCAATTAAAGTGTTGCATAGCTATTTACAAGCGCATTTAGATTTACAGTCAATGTACAATGTAATATATTTAGGTGTGTTCAGGTTTGCAAATAAAGGGTTTGCTACAATTGTTACATTTTGTCAATTGTAACACAAGTTAATTGTTCATACATCCATTTAAAAAAACAAACATTTTTTCCATAAATGTCCTAAGTTTCAATAAATAAAATTTTTCTGAATTGAATGAACTATAGGACCAGATACACCCCCCTACCCCTCAAGTTGCAGTTTGGGACTCCTTTCTGAAGATGCAATCTAATTTTCATGTATTAAAGTAAAGTTATCCAGCATGCAAGCATCATTTTGGCAAGAAGTTTTGAATCCTATCCTCCTCCCCTTGTCTTAATATCTTTTATTGCCCACTAGGGAATTCCTTACTGTTGATATTCTATATCTGATCTGATCTACAGTTTACAGACAGTTCTTATAGATAGGGGAAGGGGGATTATATCCACCTCTCTTCAACAAAATAGCCCCCCCCCCCAAAAAAAAAAAGAATGAAGGTTATCAGGAATTTTCAACTTTTTTTCTTTGGTGGTATTTTGCTCTACTCATTATGCAATTTTTTGAAGAAGAGAGCAGACTATATAACGTTTTTAGTGACAACTTTGAAAACTAAGTGATTTTGTGGTGGAAATAATTTTTTTTGGTTTAAACTATGAAAATTGACAAAACTAAATATTCCCCATTCCCTTTTTTTTCTTGTCAATGGTTTAGAAATCCCCTTTCCCTCTAAGAATTTCTGGTTGAATTTTTAAGTTTTGCAAGTTTTCAGCATATGTAAAATGATCTATGTTGAGTGACAAATTTGGAATTTTATGTTAAAATTGATGATTGATTCAATCTAAACTCAACTCCTAGCTCAGATTTAACATTGAATGAAGGCAATATCAAGACCTTACTACTAACTATTCTTAATTTTTTAGCTTTTTAATGAATAGAATATAATAAATAAACCCAATTAAGCCATATTTTTGGAATACATTAAAGTTATTTCACAATTGTGTTCTTGTAACTTTTCTGAAATTTCACTCGACAATATTTTTTCTGCGTTAAGAACTTTTGTCTGAGGTATACTTTTCTGCAACACATAATATCCACAGTGAAAATTTAGATTTTAGATTGAGATTAAATGTTTTATCACTGAAAAAAATGATTCACTGACTAATGCAAGATTTTTTGTGTAGCTTCTTAAGTTGTTAGTGCTGATTCATCAGATCTCTAGATATATCCAAAGCAATTAGCCTAATTTGACGGCTTTTTAAAATTATTAAAATCCCTAGCTTTATTTTCGCCTGTTGGAATTCTTGTTAATTTGACTGTTTTTCCAACAATGTGACTTGGGTATGCTTGGTTTTGCAAAAAATATGAAACCAGGGGTTAATGAAACAATATGATAATAACATCAGCATAGGTAAATATTCACAAATTTGTTCTTCAAGAAAAGATTTAAATTTGTAAATATAATCATATCTAAATTGTTTTGGAAGAAATGGAAATTACCGTTTTGTTGAATAAAAGAATTTGTTTGTCATTCCCAAAGTTTTCATCTTTCTGACCAACAAAAGCGTGTTCTTAAAAACAAAAACAAGAAATTCATTTTTTTTATAAAAAATTAAAAACGTACAACTCGGCTCCAAACAAGAGTTTTTAGTTTGTAATGGCATTTAACAAACTAAACTTAAAAGGACTTTTAGACCTAATTTCAAGGGACTGGTTCTCTGAGACTGGTTTGATCAAGAATGGCACATTTATGCCTCCAAAACCATTGAGGAAACTGTTATATTTAGACACTTTTCATTATAAAATATTGGCGATTTTATTTTTATAGTAAGATCAGATAAAGGAATGAAAGGTACTGTTGTGAATTGGCCCCTTTTTTAATAAATGGTTACTACAATCTCTTCAAGGAGACAAAATCATCATTAACTAAACCTTGAAAAAAGATGAACTGCTTGCTCTACACTCAGTAATCCACAAAGGTCCTTGTATCTGAAAAATGAATCCAAATGAATAAAATTTTCTCTGAATAAATCTTAAATAATTTTATTCTAATCCCTGGGAGAGAACGGTACCGGGAACATATTGACTTTGGAGAAATATTGAGTTGGAAGATTGGTATTCCATTCACATTTTGGACATTGTGGGGAGGATTTAAACTCAATTCAGATCTCTTTCATCTGTCTCAAATCCAGGAATTTCAATTCATTATTTGAATGCAGATGTCCATTAGCTTGAAGTTAGATTACATTTTTTTTTATCTTCTATCAATAAAGAACCTTTTAAAGTCAAATTGCTGAAATGAATAAAATATCTGCTGCTTAAGGATTTAAAGCAAATTGGGTAAGCTATTTTAAAATTGTATAAAATGACATGCCCTTATGTGTTCTCCACATTTTATACGAATTAAGCAGGATAGGTAGTGGAACTGTTTCAGGTCTAAGTCTGTTCAAACATTACCATTCTTGGTAAGCTTTTTAATAACGTCAACATATCTACCCCCCCCCTTTAGATTTTAGTTATGTTGTTACAGTTTTATTTGCTGAATATGAAAAAAGAAGGATTTTTAGGAAAACTTAAATGAATTTTTATGGAAAAGGTAAAAAAAATATGAAAAAAACTTGCCTTTTGACATCCCGTTCTTCATTTTTTCTTTTCAGGATGCAAAAAATCATTTTAAAAAATTCTTGAAAATATTTAAGTTATAACCCTATCAGCAAGGTTAAAATTGTAACAAATGGCAACAAGTGTGGCATATTTTCGTATTGTTGATGGTATGGTAATTGTTAATACTGGTGCTGATATTTTGGAATGGAATTCTCGAGGAACAATCGGGAAATGTTTCCATTTCAAATATACAATCTATACCATATTCATATTTATAAATATATATAGATATATTTGTAAATATTCAAATCCTGCCAGATTTAAATCATCTCTCCTTTGTGTATACAACAGGAAATATAAAGGAAAGGAAACTGTTAAACATACAAGTTCCCAAGAAAAACCAACACATATTAGTGGGAAAACATTTCTCTAGTCTTCAATTTTATTGCCTCGGGGTTTTCTCTTTTCCAGACTTTAGTTTTTGATCTAGTGTCAGATCTTCATTCTAAAAAAATGCATTTAAAAAGAATTTACTCTTCAGTCTGTACATGAATATACAGAATATCCATGTTAGTCTTTATTTATGATAGAAGTCAGATAAAGGCAGGATATAAGAATAAAGGGAAAGGAAATGGCGCTGGTCTGGCATGAGAAAGCCAGTCGCACTACTTTGCAGACGAGTTCGGTATTACACACACACACGCATACTCTTTTGGTACAGACACACAACATGACTACAGTCAAGGAAATTGCAGAACAATGTCGTCAATTATAATTAAGCTTGAATAACGAGTAGTATATTGTAAACTTTAATCAAATTATATTCTTTGCATGAAAATTTGGCATATAGTGTTGACTTAAATGTATAAATAATATATTACATGTATATTAAACTTATTTTTAAGTAAACAATAAACAAATGTACTCTCCGAGATTCTTATGTACTGTATAAACCTACAGTACACACCTTCAGTTTGGTATTACTTACACACACTCTGTTGGTACAGACACACATACATGACGTTTCCGCCCCCTGCATAAAGGAAGCCCACTTGAAATTAACTTTAAGTCCCTTTAATGAAAATTTAAAGTATTCAAAATAGGTAAAGAGTATGGAAGTTGCATTTGTGGGGGATTTATTTTTGGCTTAAATCTATTCACCATGATGTGGCATGTGATAGAACTCTCTGATGGATTTGAAATGCATTTAAACTGCAATCTTTCCCTTCCGTTAATTCTGCTTTCCTCTACCAACCTTGCCAATAAAAGACAGGGGTTTATATTTTCCAAAAAAAGTCGTTCTCACATCTCCCTTTATTGCATGAAATAAATTATTTTTTTCTTACTAAAATAAGAAACAGCTTTATCAAATAATCTAAATGAGTAATATTCAAAAAATAATGGAAAATATAAAGTGTTCTATGGGGGGGGGAGGGTCAAATTGACTCTCCCCCCCCTAGAAGGAGAAGGGTTTAAGGGGGAAAACATTTTCGTAGATATATCCTCAAAAATTATGAAAAACTAATATGGCCTTTTTCAGTTTCAAGTCTGAGGGTTATGCCGGACGACAAGAAAGTCAAGTAAGTTGTTAGTAATGCACAATGGAACCTAGGCTGAAGGTGGCACAAAGCATCCTCCTTTCATTTCATATTTTTGTTTTGATAATTCAATCATTTGTTTTAAACTTGTTTAATTTATCTAAACCGTGTGAAAAGTTGTCGACATCTTGGATTAGAAACCATAGAATGCAAATCTTCAAAACAAGAATATAATAGGATTATAATTATCATTTAAATTATTGTACAGTTTCTTCCATCCTTGCTCACATCGTTCTTCAAAAAGTTATAGAAAACTTAATGAATTTCATGCTTTCCATAAACGTAATTTAAAGTTACCGGTCGTTTAAAAAGTGTCATTTCTGATTCACAACGGTACCTTAAAAAAAGGTATTGTCGGTTTTTCAAACTGGAAAAGTGTTATTTAGATAATTAAACAGCAACTGAAAATTATCAATTTTAAGATAGAAAAATAGGGATACGGTTATGTTGTGAATCTGACATGCCACTCTAGAAATGGAGTCACTTAAAATTACGCCTGCAGTCTCTTTACTCATGAAATTAGTTAGAAACAACCTTACATATTCTATTTTTTTAATCTTTTTTTTGAAATTATTGATGAGATATTGACACATATTAATCAGCAATATTTTTTAGGTATGTAGAAGTGGGCGATGATCTTTCTTTAGGAAAAAATAATATATTTAAATTTAAATTAACAGAAAAGCATTTTTGTGGGCTAAAAATATTTTGCATTACATTTTCTCTATATGCTACTAAATATCATTGATGGATGATAAAATATATTTAATTCTTAGGTCGATCACAATGTCAAGTAAAAATCGGAACAGAAATTTGAATCCGCTGGATCCGTAATATTTGGCCTATCCGGGTCCTACAAAAAGCGCGAATTGTTGATCCGGATCCAAGAGACAAAATATTTAACAAAATATTAAAAATAACATGCTCTTATTCAATTCTAACTTTTGCTTTGTAAAGACTTTTTTTCCTAACTAAAGGTTATTTAATTTTTCTAATGTTTAAATTACATATTATTATTTGACAGCTTGCGACTACACACTCGAAGGAGATACATTATACAGTATTAAGTGGTACAGGGAGGTTATTCATTTTATCATTCATTTTAATTTGTTTACCCTGTAAATTGATTATTTGATATAATTTTTCCTGTAAAGTTTGCACTCATTGTATCTTGAAACTTTATTTACATTCATTGTTCCACAATTCATTTTAATTGATTTTTCGTTCATTTTTTCAGCCCGCATATTCCAACTATTATAATCGCAGAATCACATTCACTGTTTTCACTTTTCAGTCTCCTTAAAGGGACTGTTCACCTATTTTCAAGTGAACCTCTGTTAACAAAAAGCGTTGCCTGCCCGATTCAAAACGGTTCACGTCAGCCCTTAATCGAATATAAAAGATGGAAAGATATTTTTATTCTCAATTTTCGTTCTTGTCTCTGCTGCGTAAATTCCCAACTCCAATCATTTTTACTCTAACCTGCAATCCTAGATGGAGGAATTATTTAAATTATGTATACAGAGCTGAAAACTTTACCATGGGATATCCTTAATCCCGATTGGTTAATTAATCTGAAGATTAATAACAGAAGGAGAACAAGCATTATTTAATCTGGAGATTAAGAAAAAAGGGAGATCAAGCATTGATTTCGATATCCACCATTCAAAAGTGTTCAGCCCTGTCCCTTTAGTAAATAGAAATGAATAAATAAATAACTTGATAGAGATAACGATGAGTTTTTTCGGTATCAACAGGACAAAAATTCAACCAGGAATTAAATCATTTTTATAAAGAAAGGATTTCTAAAATAAAAAAAATCTCGTGTTTATGGAGGCGAAAATTTTAGATTTCTATCAGCTATTTCTGGGCTTCAGATGTGGGTTTGTAAATACATGTGGCTCTATTGGTTCGACTGTTCAGACGTTTATTGGATTGAAACCTATCAAAACAAACTAGTAAGATACAAATGACAAATATTCAAATTCAGAGAGTTAGATTTTGTTAAAATTTACCGACCAACGTGGTTAACTATTGTGTTAAAGAACTTGCGGATGCAGTCTCAGTTCCGGAAATTAAGATGCATGCTGTCACGGTTCCTTCGAATATTATGTAATGTAAATCATCCCAAAGTAAAAGAAACAATTTCCCCATATAATCTGTAAATAAAATCCATCTTTTTGAAAATTTTCATTTTCTAAATGATGATAGATAAACATAAATCTAGAGCATTCCCTTTAAATGCGACAGTGTGTGCATGTCGTAACCATCAAATGTTGGCAGTTCAGATCAAATACAATCCTGCCTTTAATCCACCCAATCCTTATCATTGATGAATTAATGAGAGACTAGCAATGAAGGGGGGCCTAATGTTACTTAAACATAATGCCATAAAGTTTTCCTGTACCAGGTTCTTTGTGATAATAAGTCGACCTTTTTATCATTCTGCAAGCCATTCGCACTTTTTTGAGATAGCTTAAAAAAGTTCGTAATTTTTCCTACTATCATTGGCGGATTTTCACAATTTTTTAAACTTTCGCTGGGGTCAGGTAAAATAACACTAAAAATGTGTTTCTATAAATTGCATTTAAACACAACGGAACTTTCTAAAAACCAGGTCAGTGAAGCGGCCCCTTTTTTGTATTAAGATTTGGAATCTTAGTCCAGACATTGTGATCTTGCCAGGTGGCATTTGTTGCATAAAACGTGCTGGGTCGACTTTACACTGGGTAGTCCAGCTAGGACAGTGGACAGTACAACTGAATCAATCTACAGTACATGTTGGTCAGGTTTTGATCATGCTACTTTCAAGAGTAGGGTGATCAGATAAGAACAATTATTTGTGTAAGACAAAATGAAAAATGATTTGTTTTCTAGTATTTACCCCTTGGACGGGCTCAACGTAGACGACTACTCATCGAAAACTCACATTTTAGGTAAACTTACATTTTTAAAAACATTTTTTGTTTAGTTATTCCGAATTACTCTTTGGTTCTCTTGAGCTCTAGGTTATGTTATGGTTTGTACTGTGCAGGGCTAGATAAGTAATGCATTCCATCATTCCATCATCCCCCCCCCTATCCCTCCAATATTAGCCAACATATCCCGTTTTTGACCCGTCGACCCCCTGCTAGATGCTAGGCCATACCTGGAAACCATAATCTCATTGCCTTAAACCAAAGTAATTCATCATTGCAGTAAGAACAAATANTATTTTATCTTCTCTGATAATAATATAAAATCCTGCTGTTATTCGTCCCATTTATTTTCTTACTCAAGGAGGAATTGCTCTCATTTGTTGGATTTTATTCTTCTTTGATTATTATTTTATCTTCTCCATCTTCTAGAGTTAATCTTATTCTTCTTTGATTATTATTTTATCTTCTCCATCTTATAGAGTTAATCTTATTCTTCTTTGATTACTATTTTATCTTCTAAATATTCTAGAGTTAATTTTATTCTTCTTTGATTACTATTTTATCTTCTCAATATTCTAGAGTTAATCTTATTCTTCTTTGATTACTATTTTATCTTCTCCATCTTATAGAGTTAATTTTATTCTTCTTTGATTATTATCAATTTAGCTTTTTCCATATTTTAAAGTTGATTTTTTTCTTCTTTGATCATTACTTTGTCTTTTAACTTGACTCTTGCCTGGCACACTTTGTCTATCTGAATTATGTGCCAGTGACGCGGTTAGAATAGAGCTTAACCCTCATGGTTGACGGTTTTGTTTATTTATTTACTTAAAGTTAATTTTATTCTTCTCAGATTATTATTTTTAGCTTTTTCGATCTTTTAAGAGTAAATTCTAATATTTTTTGATTTTATGTTAATATTTTCCATACATTAACAACTAGTTTTTAATTATTATTTTAACTTTTTATCTTCTACAAGATATATATTAAATTAATTTTATTTCTTTTCTGTTTTCCCCGTCTGATGCACATCTTCAAACCCAATTCTTTTATTTTTTTTCTCTTTAATTTCTTGCACTTATTCTCTGATTGTTTTTTCTTTTAATATTCTTTATTATTCTCGAGTATATTTTTCACTTGAAACCATCCTCAAAACCCTCAAAAAAAATTTTATATTGATTTTTTCCCTTTTTTTCTGAAATTTAGAAATAGGAATTTTTTTAATCTACAAGTAGATAATGCGGTATTATTTCTCCCTTAAACTTTTATTTTTGTTTATTTTTTTTCAAACTTTTTTTCTTTTCATACCTACACACACCCCCCTGCTTTCTTACAACGTTACAAAAACGTTGTTAATATTTCTAAGAACGATATATTTGGGGTTTATATTGCAATATTTGGGGTTTATATTGCAATATTTGAGGGTTATATTGTAATATTTGGGGTTTATATTTCAATATTTGGGGTTTATATTGCAATATTTGGGGTTTATATTACATTATTTGAGGGTTATATTGTAATATCTGGGGTTTATATTGCAATATTTGAGGGTTATATTGCAATATTTGGGGTTTATATTACATTATTTGAGGGTTATATTGTAATATTTGGGGTTTATATTGCAATATTTGAGGGTTATATTGTAATATTTGGGGTTTATATTGCAATATTTGTTTGTATCGTCAGTCGATTCTATTTTGATTTATCAAAATGTCCATGTTGTGCATATTTCTTTCATGATTTTCGAATCGTTGTTTAATTTATCTTTTAATTACGAAGACTGAACTGTATGAAAGTGCCCTGATGTCAGAACTTATGTGTTATGAATTTAATATCAATTATTCCTTATTATGTCCTTTAGATTAATTTAATCCATATTGGATTTCCCGTAGGGGCCAATGATCATGTCCTTTAGAATAACTATTTAAGGAATCGAGCAGTGTAATGTTTCGACATCTTAACATTTTTAAAATATGTATTAATTGCAACAAAGGCTTATTAAAACATCCTTAGCACACTCATCACTAAAAACCATTAGATTTATTTGGTCAGCTCAGTTTAAGTACTAGTTTTTATGTAAGATATATATATTTATCTGTTTATCTGTTTTGTAAAAATGCGAGTCTAGCTACCTCTATGTATGTAAAAGATATATATATATATATATATATATATATCTGTACATCTGTTTAGTAAAGAATGTGAATCTAGCTACCTCTGTTTATATATAAGATATACATTTATCTGTTTATCTAGTAAAGAATGTGAGTCTAGCTACCTCCGTTTATATATAAGATATGTATTTGTCTGTTTTTCTAGTAAAGAATGTGAGTCTAGCTACCTAAGTTTATATATAAGATATGTATTTATCTGTTTATCTAGTAAAGAATGTGAGTCTGGCTACCTCTGTTTTATATGTAAGATATATATTTATCTGTTTATCTGTTTCGTAAAGAATGTGAGTCTTGCTACCTCTGTTATATATATATATATATATATAGATATATATATAGATATAGATATATATATATATAAATAAATATATATATATATATATCTGTTTAGTAAAGAATGTTAGTCTAGCGACCTCTGGTAACTTTAAGTGTGAAATTTCCGGTGGAGGACCAAGGTATGTAAACAGTATATTAAGGAATATATTTAAGGAATATATTTGCTATAAATCCGCCGCCCCCACCCCCTTCACCTTTCAGAAAGTCATCAAGGAAAAAACTGATAAGTTGATGTCCAATTTTTTATTAAGTTTCTTGCCACATCATCTATCCAAATTTTACATTTTTTAATATTATAAGGATTAAACGTGTATAAATACTTCAATTTTTTCTTCAAAACTTAAACTTCACGTCCCGTACTTACTTTTAATCAATTATGTACAATGTATTTGATATTTGATGTGAGGTGGAACTAAATTATGAAACATCTTAATTAAAAAAAGGTATTTTATTTTTGGGTATTTTCTAAAAAACATATTTTTTTGCCGGAATATATATGGGCCCAACTAGGAAGCGATACGGGTAAGCGCAGTGCCACGACTCTTTGTTAGTGATTTAATTGCGGGATGTAGGCTTAGCAAGTGGGGCTTGCCTTCCCCCCCTCTTTGGATTCACATACAATTAACAATTCGGATCCAGGGAACTGAATTGTTCCTGATCCAATGGATTCAAATCCGTAGCCCTGGTTTTACATTCGTTAATTATCCAATTGTATTAGCCCTTCCTTAGCTAGCGTTGTATCACAAGTATTTATTTACCCTCACTTCTGTACCATTAAAAGTTACTCAAGTTGACCAAATATTGTTTGAAAATTGTCTCTCAAGTGTATAAATTATAAATCTTGAAATCCTCGTCTCGAGAAGAGAATCTGGACTCTTGAGTTCAAAACCTTTAAATTGAACTTAAATTCACCTTGATCAAAGCTTAAAGGGACTGTAAGCGTAACTTTAATCGACTCTCCATGCAAAGATGGCAATGCATGATTTTACAACTGATCAATAGCCCTCTATGCTTTCCTGCATTAAAAAATTACTTTTTTAGAGAAACCATAGTCAAAAATAATCCGTTTTCAGCAGTTTAAACATTGATATCTAATTCATGCCTGATCAGACAAGTTATTAAGGGTATTGATGAGAACTGGGCTTTGTCCTCTTAGCATGGAGGGTCACTTTAAATTACGTTTACAGTCCTTAAAGGTTACAAAGCTAATAGCTAAAATATTGACAAAGGTTCCTCATGAAAAAAAAATGTTTCTCGTTTGCGATATATCCTAAATGGACTGTTCAATTAGTTTTAATTTTCATAGAGTGGCATTTTGTCTGATCAAGGATGACTTTGTTTTCTAACCAAATATGTTTTTTTAAAATGTGATATCTTTGATTTATGCTGCAGAGACAATGAAGGAAATTGTCAGAATTTATTGCCTTCTAATTTAAAGAGCAACGATTTCTTCCTCATTGCTATTCAGATAAGATTTTCAAGGGTACTGTTGTGTATTCGACACGCAACTCTAATTCACTAGTCTTTGGAAAATACGCCTCAAGTCCCTTTAACAGTTTTTTGCATCTGAATATTTGGACACAAATCCGGCCCACACGTTTCTTTCTCAAACATCAAACAATAGGAATCCTAATTCATTTATCTTAATTAACCTAGGAGACATTAACTTTTGAAACTGTATAAACCTCTCAATCATATCACCTCTGCATAAACCTCTCAATCATATTACCTCTGTTTAAACTTTTCAATCATATCAGCTCTGCATAAACCTCATAATTATATCACCTTTGCATAAACCTCCTAATCATATCACTTCTGCGTAAACCTCTCGAATCTTATCACTTCTGCATAAGCCTCTCAATCATTTATCACTTCTGCAGAAACCTCTCAATCATATCAGCTCTGTATAACCTCTCAAACATATCACCTCTGCATAAACCTTCTTATCATATCGCCTCTGCCTAAACCTCTCAATCATGTAAGCTCTGTATAACCTCTTAAGCATATTACGTCTGCATAAACCTCTCAATCACATCAGCTCTGTATAACCTCTTAAGCATATTACGTCTGCATAAACCTCTCAATCACATCAGCTCTGTATAACCTCTTAATCATATTACTTCTGCATAAACCTCTCAATCATATCAGCTCTGTATAACCTCTTAATCATATTACTTCAAATTTACCACCCTTTTTCAGATTTTTTTTTGCTGAAAATTTTTTCATCATTGAGAGATCAGTCATTACATAAATTTGCATGTTGCGAGAAGTAATTTTTAGCACAGTAAATATTTTGCAGCTTTTCTTTAATAATATTTCTTAAACATTTGTTATTCCAATTAATTCTAAGAGTGCCTGAAATTTTTAATATGTTCACTCATTTGAGATAAAAAAATTTCTCTTTTGAGATGAAGATCACTTTTGTCTTTTATTGCTTGATTTTAACTTTTTCGTAATGTTTTCGTTGACAGGGTTGCCCACAAAAGGTGAGACTTTATTGACGACCCGAAAATTATTATATCTCAATCTTAAGGCTGAATCTGGTTCACTACATAAAAGGAGTTGTGAGCGTTATTTAAACCCACAAAATTTCCCATTTTAAGATTGTGTGACTCTGCTGCATAAGTCGTAATTTTCATGAGGCAAAGGGTACAGTTGTGAATTGGGCATGATCAATCATCTTTAGATGGAATTTCACTTGAAACTTCGTGGAAAGTACATTTGTTTTTGCAAAGAATAAAAGTAAAATTACCATGTGTTGTTACAGACTAAAATGTTAAGACAGAACTTTAAAAAAAAAGGGTGAACAGTATTTTTTTAAGTCACATTCGTTGTGATGACAATGCACATATTCCATATTCCATATTTTAAATATCATTATCTATAAATCCTCAATTCACTATTTTCCTTTGAAAACACTCGAGTTTTTACTAAATTGGAGAATAAAATGTAAAACAGGGAATAATATCTTTTTAGTGGAAATTTTATTCTTTTGTAAAATAGAACATGTCACATTGAAGGTTCCATCAAGTATTTAAAACAGTATTAATTATCAGATATCTGAAGTAATGCTTGAGATATTGTCTTTTTTTTTTTCTTAGCCCTTTTCCTGCTTGTATTTATTTATAGTATTTTTTTTGTTAGGAATAGCTCATATAATCCCAAATATCAAACTGTATATGGCACTGATCTATTTATTTAATTATTTTTTAGATTTCCTACAGCTGTGCTTAACTCTAAAGTTGTTGTGGTTGGTGAGTTTACACTTAATAATTATTAGTTTGACAATTAATAAACATGATATAATTCAGCTTTAAAAATTCTTAAACTTAAAGGTACTGTTAAGGTAAAATGAAAAGGCGTATGTGCTGTAGTCTGAAATTTTAAGAGTTGATCCTGACCAATATTTATTTTAATTGATGCCCCTGTCACGAGAAATTGTTATAAATCTGTGTCAAAGTTAAACAAAAACTTGTATATGTAATATGGTATTTGAATCAAAATTTATACAAATAATATGAAGCAAATATAGAACAAATCTGAAAATTACAAAGACCCAGAGGTGCCTGGAAAGTTTAGACACACTCCTATTATAATTTGAATATAATACTTAATAATAATTTATTTCAATCTTTTTAGGTCTATAAAACATAACCAGAATTTCCTAAATTTGCCATGCATTATCTGGTAAAGTGGCTCCATCAATCATAAAACATATAAATGAGTTTTTGTTTTATGTGGACCCGGTTATGTGACAAATTCTCAAAACAGATACATCAGATAGAACTAATATTTGGTGCGAGAAGCGCATAATAATTTTAGGCGCTTTACCCTATTTCAACCCCCTTTCATTTTACCTTAACAGCCACTTTTGATAAAGAAATGAATAGCATGAAAAATATGAAAATATGAAAAATATGCAAAATCTGAAAAATCTGAAAAATATGAAAAATCTGAAGAAAAATAAATATTATGAGCTTACTGTTTAGTTTAAAGATAATAACGCTGCTCTTGTTAGGATTTATTAAAAGATTAATTATCAGAAAAGTTAATTATTCATGGGTCATGCAATTTGTGAAAATGAATTTTAAGATGAAAGCAAGAACATTTAAGTAATGTTATGTATATTAATGTTTTTTTAGAAATGAACTAACTTATTCTTTTATTTAAATCATACTCAGTCAAATAATTTTTATTACTCTTGTAATATTCTTTATTTTGTGAAATGTTTCCATCCTTTGCCTTCTGTTGGAATGATTTATATTATTAAAACTTTGTTTAGAACGGGAAAAATTTACGTCCTCGTTACTTACAATGTCACCATTTTTCAAATTTAAGAATATTAAGATATTATTTAACCAGTCACAGTGAGGCTTAACCCATTCAAGACATGAAGTTGCTCAGAGATGAAATTTATTTTACGCTAAAAAAGGGCGTCAACCTGAGTTCAACCTGAGTTCAACCTGAGTTCAAAATGAGTTCAAAATGTATAAAATAGAAATTCGGTACCAAGGGAATCCTGAGAAAATCCCTTTATTGATTTGGAGAAATTCAGGTTTCAGTCCTGATTTGACAGTATCTTTTAAAGTCCAAACGACTATTTAAGGACAAAAAGAAGTCATGGGTCTGTAGTTTCCATTTTATCAAGAGCTTCACAACATAAATTAGGAAAAGAAGTTCTTGAGAGAGGATTGGAAACTTTAATTGAACTCAACAAAGACCCTTATTATTTTTGCCATTTTTGGGGGTGTGATAAAACTTTGATATTTCATTTAAATGACTGAATGACAGTTTCTGAGCTAAGCTAACACAATTTTAGATTACAATACAAGTATCTTTTTATATATGGGACTATTTCCAAGCCCCCTAGCACCCCTAGCATTTAAAGGGTCAAGGAAGTCATTTTTTTAAACTTTGATGGGTTGTGAGCTTTCATCATCCATTTATAGTTCATGTTAATTGGATTTAAATTTCAAATACATGGGAATGAATTTCATGAGATCTGGGATTAATTATTTAATTATTACTCTTGCTGTCTCATCTTAATATAATTGCATAATTACCTGTCTTTCTTATTTAGTTCATTTCTACTTTACCCCCCCCCTCCCCATTTCTCCCAAGGGGGGAGATTCCTCTGTATTTAAAAATTGGGGGGGGGAGGCTAATTTACATTAATTTGCCCTGAACCCACATTCATGTTTCAAGGCTTTTGCAAACATGTAAAATTAATAGATTAATAAGCGAAGTCCTATTAATTTAAGACTATTCTGATTTTTAATACACGAATTAATCTCCCATGTTGTATCTACCCTATATAATAAAGCTTTTAGCTGTTCTGTAAAGTATTAGAGGTTTCAAGGTGATAATAGGTGGGTTGTGTGGATAAGTGGGGGGGGGGAGGGGTCCAGCAGAAATTTTGGGACCATCAAAATGTTTATTAGGGTTTTTCTCACTTTTTTCATTTTTGTTAAATTCATTCATTAAGAAGTGCACAGTTTTACATATTTACACAAATGCAAGGTAGAGACCTAAGAAAGGAATTTTTAACATTTTTTATATTAAATTATTTATTGAATTAATGTAAAAATATTGAAGATAAATTTTGCATAAAAATTATTAGTTGCATTAAAACCAAAAGAAAACGGTGAAGATTTAGTATTGTTATGAAATGTAATGAATTTACAATGTAGATCTTACTGTGTCAAGTTTAAACTTTTGTATATTATTTTAATCAAAGTTTGGAGCTAAATGTAGATGCTTAGACAGGAAACAGATTCGTAATTGTAATATTTGAATGAAGCATCCCCCATGCTTCCTTCAAATATTAAAATTAAGAATCTGTTTCCTGTCTAAGCTTCAGGGATTTAGTAGAAAATTAAATCAACAACAAAAATGGAGGGGAAAAAAAAGAAGAAAATGTCATTAAACTCCGAAACATTTAACTGACAAGTTCTTCTTTCAGATAAAGTCTGATTATTTTTTCATTTTCCCTAATTTAGCTTAATTCATCTTCTTGAAACTTATCCATGAGTCTTCAACTGTATACTCGAAAACTTAATTATAATTAAATTTAATTTGGCTTAATTTGAAAACTAACTTTCCTATCTTACCTTCCCTTTTCAGCAGATGGGTTAACTTGTCATTCTTTACAAACTTATTTTGAATTTCTTTCAAAAAGAAGATTTTAAACAATTATATGCAAGTATTTTTATTTTGTTAGATTTTTCATTATCTTAATTATCACACAAATGGAACATTAAGTAAAATTGAGACTTTATTGTACATATATATACAATATACAAATACTAAGGAAAAAATTATAAACACTCATCTGAATAAAAATATTAGATACTAATACTGGTATTTTTCACTTAAGGGTCATACTCTACATATTAAACTTGAATATTATGATAAAACTAAATTCTATAATTTCTGCTTTTATCAAAAAGTAAGTAAAACTTGAGGGGGAAATTCATATCTTTGTCCCAATTCTTTTTTTTCAAAGGAGAGATTCAGGACCTGGGACCAAATTTTGGGAATTTTAGCTTTGTCACTGAACTGCCTACGGCGGGTTCAAATTTGAACTGCGGTCTGCAGTTCAACAACACGGCAAATTTATTAAATTTGGTCTTGGATCCTCATCCATTTGAAAATGGATTTCTAAGAACTTGTTTCCTTTATATTATTTGATATCTACATAACTGTGGGGTTATATGCCTGTAAATATTATCTTTTCTCAAACTTGTGGTTCTGCTCCTGGCTTTATCTGACAAAGTTTGGCTTTAATTTTCATCTTAAACCTTAAACTTACACCCTTAACATTTCACTATAAAGTATATACTTTAAATCTCTTAGAAGGACACATTTTAATCTTTAAACTGACAGTTTTGACATGAGGTGTGTCCCACACGTTATAGGTAGTATTTTTATAAGTCAGAACACGCACCTCTGCCCCTTAGGTAAAAGTATAAAATTCAACCTTTTTGAAGCATAAAGTCTGACCGCGTCAACCTTATTGCACCGGCTAGTTCTGTTGATTGTCTTCTTTTTTAATCAAATGTCCATGCGGTGCAGTTCAAACTGGGACCGGAAAGGTTGACCTGGATTGGAAATTCAAATTTACTACGGCTGCCCGTGAGTAGATTAAATTCTTCCGTCTTAATGCAGCATTTGAAAATAGAGAAATCATATTCTCCCAAACACAATAAAAACTTCAGTAAATGACATACTGTTTCAAACAACGATGTTTAATGTTGTTCTTTGGATTTTTTTTTGTGACTAGAGGGTCAATTTTAGATTTTTCACTAATCGAGTAGATTCGAGTAGATTCGAGTAGATTCGAGTAGATTCGAGTAGATTCGAGTAGATTTTCTTTTCAGGACAACCCTTCAGTATAATATGTTGTAGTAAAGGAAAGTAGTTCAGTTTCTGCACTCTCTCTCGGTTTCTTCCGGTACATCCTTCCTGGATGAGCAGTATTTATATTTATATTTTACCGTCAGCTCTGGTTTCTAAAAGGGTTTCTGGAAATTTGATCCAATATAAACTTTGTTTCAAAACCAGGCTGAGGCAAAGTATTTTAATTAAAGTAAAACTGTGGGGGGGGGGGGGGTATAACCTCCCACCATACTTAAACAATTCCTTAATCTTATGTTTTATAAATTTCTAACCTAATTATGTAAATTGAAAATGTTTAATTATGTTTTTAAAAAAGTTTCAAGTGTTATTTTGCAAGTTGACATTTTTATAAACATCTATAACATTAATATTACTCTTGAATTGGGCTCAAAATCGTCTTTCTGTGCTCTATTTGAATGATTCAGATGATAAAATTTAATTAATTAAACATTGTATTTATTGCTTTGAAACTTGCTTTAAAATATTGTTTCTTAAGAAATTCAATCCAATTCTTACTATATTACTATGTTGGGCAAATAATATGAATTGTGTTCATATCTATCCAAATTTTAAATTATAAAAATTTTATTCTTTTGCTTTATGTTTTACATACACAAAAATGAAATATTTTTCAGTTTACTTATAGATTCTTCCTGTAAAAAATAAAGGTTTTTCACGAATTATGGATGGGAAAATTATTAACATTTAACAGTTATTCATCCTTCAGGTTGATGAGCATTGAAGAATAAAAGTAAGACCCGGGGGAATTTTTGTTTTATCTAAGGAATAAATTATCTACAATTAAATACGTACTGAAACCAATATATGAAATGTTTAGAATTTTAATTAATTCAAGTTTCTTCAAAGAACATTGAAGAGCTTCAGTGATCCTAAAGGAAATATGAGCAATATATAATTCATATTCCTTCAAAAGCAGGGTTTTTTTTTGTGAAACCAAAATTGAAATAACTCTTGAAGCAATCGAAAAAAATTAATAATTTTTATTAGAATTATAAATTAAGTAACAATAAAATCATTTAAATTCTGAGATACTGAGATAATTCATATTTTACCACTGACATTAAATAAAGGAACTGTATACAGGAACGCCCAACTCAGATTTACGCATATTATGTACTGTACACTGTGGGAGGAATGTAAACAAACCCAGTGCTCCCACAGAACTTGAAGGGAAAGGGCTACAGCTCTGATGTGATATTACAGACCAACAAAAAACAAGTTAATATATCAAGTTAGAGTGAATACTTATGATATTTGGCTTTCTGGTCAATATGGAAAAAACAAAAGCAACATATTCTTATTCCACCCGTTGGGCCCTTTACCCTCAAAAATGATGCGTTGCCCCTGAATTCTTTGTTTTGAGCTCCTCCCACTGCAGTACACAGATTTGACGCATGAGATATGGCGATCCTGGTCTATATATTTCTTGCATGAAACATGCTATTGCTGGGGCTATGAATAAAATTTTACAATAATATCAGGTTTATCAAAGTTGTTGATTAGTTGCAACAAAATTGATTGTAGTTTTAAAATCAACCTTGCAAAATTGTTACTTCAACAAGAACCTAACTCTTTAGGCTTTACACAGGAAAACGTTACAAATTAAATTGAGTTTTAGATGGAACGGGGAGNGTCATTATTTTTCCGAATAAAATTAATCTTTATTTGGGAGAATTTTTGCGAGCCGCCCTAATTGTATCATGTCTTATTAACGAGTTTAAATACCTCTGAAAAATATGTCACTTAACACCAATGTTGTAAAGTTAAGAGGAAATATGTGAGAAAAACAATTGTGAAAAATAGTTTCAAAGTTAGTACATTTTTTCCAGCAAAGTATTGGCAGGGAAACTTAAGTATTAGATTAAAATACCGTCTTCTAGTTGTGCAGATAACCTCCCCGGGGGGGGGGGGGGGGGTATTACTGGCTGAAAAAAGTTGCTGACTTATCTAATTGATGAAAATTGTTTTATGATGACTTGCATGCGTAATTATTTCCCTTCTTCAAAAATGATTACCCCCCCCCCTGTATTAGATTTGTTTGCAAAAAAGGGTATAATTTTGGTTGTACATTTTTATTATTTTCACTATTCATCAAAACCCATTCTCAAAACATATTCAGTTTTGTAAAACTTTAATAATTGCTCTATAAAGCTTTTTTAAAAAAAGTGTAGAAAAAAATAATGACAAATATTATTTAAATCAAAAATATTCAGTTTGCAATTTTAAATTTATAGAAAAAACCAAGAAATTACTTTTTAATTGTTTTTTTTTGTATTTAGATCTGCCGAAGACCCGGCCAACCATATCTGGAGTTCAGGCTAGGTAATAATCATAGATAAAGATAGATTGCGCATAAGACGACATTTTTCATCTTGAAAGATATAAATGGACAGAGATGTTTTAAAGATATTCCTATTATATAGATTAACTAGGTCGGTTGTGAACATTGGCTTTTCTTATGTCATTGAGTACTTGTGGTGTACATGAGTTCTGTAGAGAGAAATTTAAGTTAGTTTAGTCCTTCTCATGTCCTTCTTCAGTTCTCGTCAATATGATATATTGCTCAGTGAGTGGTTTAATAATTATGAAATCCATTAAAACGCCCAACCACCCCGCTTATCATTGAAGTACACTTTGACCCCTAGAAGTATGTGTTTGCGGACTGTACAATTCTTGGTGATTTTGCGTACATAAGCTATCTATGTTTGTTTATTTATCCATGGTAATAATGGAGAGGCGTACAAACGGTATTCGGAATATTTTTCAAAAATTCAAGAAATTTTGACTTATTGGCTTCCCAGGAATCTGAGATGTTTATAAGATTTCAAAGTTGTTTTCTCTATTAGTTTACTTACATTGTATAACATTTTTACTCTAGTGTTAGATATGAAAAACATTAATGGTTAAATCTGTCATTTCTTGTTAAAAAATTGTTGCAAGATTCGATTAAAGCAAACACTATTTTTAAAGTTATGCTTCACATCCCAGAATATTGTGGAGCCTTGAACAGAATTTTATGAATTTGAGCTAGTTCGCTAAAATTCCTACTGCTGTGGAAATTACATCTATAGTACAAATCATGAATCACCGAAGACACGTGGTTGAACTGTCTCTAGACCTAGCTCAAATTCATTAAGTCCTGTACAATTCCTATCTTTAGATAAGACTAATTCTAGGATAGGATTATTCAACACAACATTCATGGAAATGATAGTTTTAGCAAATAATAATCATCATTTTTTTAAAGTTATTTTTCCTCTTTTTTCGCTATTTTTTACGCTAAAAGTTTCTAAACCATTCTAAGAAATAACAAATTTCAGTTCAAATTTTTTTGATCAAATTGTTTTTTGATAGATATTTTTTCCATCAGGGGCGTATTTAGGAATTTGTCCAGCGTGGGCTTCAGCCTTTTTTTTACAGCCGTGGATCTGCATATTTTTGTGGGTTTGAAACCAGATCAAGGAATCCAAAATTTTGCGGATCCAGATTCTTTAAGCACTGTTTTTAACTTAAGAGGTTGTCTGTACTAGCAATCCTTTTTTATTTTAGAAGTCTTGTAAAAAAGATCTAAATTTTATTTCTCTTAATTGTTTGTTAATATTTTTATTTTATGTTTTCTTTGTAAAACTGCACAGTCAACCCTATACCAAGTAACAATACTTTGCATTTCTGATTAAAACTTTGAAAAGAAAATCAAAAATATTTTTAATTTTTTCGCAAAGTGGCTGGAATTTTAAGGGCAATACCCAATTCACAACGGTACCCTTGACACCTTAATCTGATAAATAATATGGAAGATATTTTATTTATTTATTTATAAAGTTTGCATGGATGTGACATTTGAAATTGATTTTACAGTCCCTTTAACTCGCTTTTCTTGTTTTCTTCATGTTATTCTTTATTTTATGTTTTCAGTCGGTTAAATCTCAGACATTATAATTCATGAAACGACAAACATCTTGTATCATTGCATATATATACCCTTATATATATATATATGTGTGTGTATATAGTATTTAATCTCCCACCCTAGCCCCAGACATGAAAAGGGGAGGGGGGAGTTAAAGCTGAAGAAAAGCACAACTAAAACCTTTGGGATAAAAGGAAACAATGTAAATTCAAGTGACCTCCATGAAAAGACGACAATGCCTGATTTCAAGAGTAAAAGAACGACAATATCTTCCAGTATATTGTTATATTTATGTTCAGGTACTACCTGGGTGATGAAGTGATTGCTACCTGTTGGTCTGGATACTCATACCCATCACCACAATTCAAGGTACAGGGTTACTCACAAAGGATGAGACTGTAAAGACGACCCAAAACTCTCAAAATATAACTATTTAAGTTTTGATTTTTGATTTCTGCATATAATTGAGTAGGTTGATGGTTTACTAAATGATTAAGCACAGAATTAAGCCAGTTTTGCCCTACAAGGAAACCTGAAGGAAAGAATATGGACAAACTTCGTTAAATCGTCTCGTGAAGTATTTTTACTACTGTGTGCAAGCATAAACAAACAAATATCAAACAGTAGAAGACAAAACATTCTACGAATAGCTTTCTTCATACTACATAAATCAACGATCTTAATTCCCATATTTATTTGAAAACACTCTTTGTTACCAACAAAAATCATATTTTACTCGCAGCAATTCTTTTTAGTTCAGTTGATCAAAACATTAAAATTTAGTGGTGGATAAACGACAGTGCAGCAGATCCTGCTGTAGTCCGTGTGCTGGCAGATGGGTCAGCTGCTCAGCTCAGGTACTTATTTTTATTTTCATTTTTTTTAAACCTTGAAATAATCTTTTTCGGAAAAAAGCAAAGAGAAAATTTTCAGTTTTACCAGACTAGATTTTTAATGTCACTGTATATGTAATTTCAAATGAAACTCCGTGCAAAGATAGCAATTTCTTAAACCCTTGAAACTTTTATCTCTTCAATAAAGTATATTGTCGTTTTTCAAGGTTTGAACATGTCTATTTCTGTTAATTCCTGTTTGTTTTCCTGCAATAGAAATTCATAAGTCATTTTTGTAATGAAACCGCATTTGAAAATTATCCGTGTAAGGTCACTTGAAATTTACAGTCCCTTTAAATGTTTAATTTTATTCTAGATTTAAGATAAAAGAGAACCATTTGTTTGGAGATTCTCTTCGTTTGAAGTGTACTGTAGAAATCCTCAACATTTATTGGATGAGCAGTGAAGAAGAGGCGAAAATCCTCCAATCACCGGGCTTCTCACTACCTGCTTTCTCAAAACCAATGTTCTCATCAGACTCTCGCAACCTCTCATCCAAGGTTTCGTCAATACTCATATCTCTACGATTAGTCTCCATTTTGTTAAATCTGTAATGTATACAGATCATTTTACTAATCATGTATACAATCCAGTTTTTTTTCATAGTATAATGTATATGTACAGCTTATGTACCTTCATATTAATCTGTACAAGTTGTGTACAGTCAATAGTTTAACAGTTAGAATGGCTTTATCGCTAGAATAAAGGGAAGAAATAAACACTCTGGTATGTGTAAAGGGAGGAAGGGAACCCCTGGCTGCCATGAGCCTCCACCTAGCAGACATGAGCCTCTCAGATTTGTTATGTAGTTCGAGCACTTATAAAGCGGAGGCTCATTGTGGCCGGGGGTTCCCTCCCTAGTTAAAGTATATCACAGTAAGATAGATTACTGCAGATCTGTCAAATATAAATATATACAAGGATTCATGTTTTCATTTGCAATGAAATATCATCGGGAGCTAAAAGGTTTCGGCTAAATACAGATTTTAAATCTATTTTTCTAACATTAAAAACCAATTAGAGACTATTTATCATCTCGAAATCAAGAATCACTCAACTTCAACAATAAAAACATTGCTAAGTTTTTGTAAACAGTTTTATCTTGCAGTTAAAAATTTAGTACTGGTGATAGATCTAAATATCCACTGTATCCTGTATCCTGGTTTTAAATCAAAATTTCCCCTGTATAGTGTATCCTGCAATGTGTTAGATCTAAATATCCCCTTTATCCTGTATCCTGGTTTTAGATATAAATTTCCTCTGTATCCAAGTGTTATTACTAAATATCAACTGAATCCTGAATCATGGTGTTAGATCTAAATATCCCTTGTATCCTGGTGTTAGATCTAAATATCCCTTGTATCTCCCTTGTATCATGGTGTAAAATCTAAGTATACCCTGTATCCTGGTGTTAGATCTAAATATCCCTTGTATCCTGGTGTTAGATCTAAATATCCCTTGTATACTGGTGTTAGATCTAAATATCCCCTGTATCCTGGTGTAAAATCTAAATATCCCCTGTATCCTGGTGTTAGATCTAAATATCCCCTGTATCCTGGTGCTAGATCCAAATATCCCCTGTATCCTGGTGTTGGATCCAAATATTCTCTTTTTCTTGGTGCTACCAATCATCCCCTGTATCCTGGTGTTAGACCTAAATATCCCCTGTATCCTGGTGTTGATCTAAATATCCTCTGTATCCTGGTGTTAGATCTAAATATCCCCTGTATCCTGGTGTTAGACCTAAATAGCCATGTTCAGTGAAATGTCCTTCTATTAGCTCAACAATAGAATCATTAACTCCAAACCTAGGAGTATTTTTATCTACGAGAAATCAATAGAGATATTTTGAAAATAGAGCATATCAGTTTTTAAGAGATATTTTGAAAATAGAAATAATCTACAGTTTTTAGGGATATTTTGAAAATTGAGCTAATCTACACGTTTTTAGAGATATTTTTAAAACAGAGTTAATCTACAGTTAGAGATATTTTGAAAATTGCGCTAATCTACAGTTTTTATAGGTGTTTTGAAAATAGAGCTAATCTACAGGTTTTTAGAGATATTTTTAAAATAGAGTTAATCTACAGTTAGAGATTTTTTGAAAATTGAGCTAATCTACAGGTTTTTAGAGATATTTTTAAAATAGAGTTTATCTACAGTTAGAGATTTTTTGAAAATTGAGCTAATCTACAGGTTTTTAGAGATATTTTTAAGAAAGAGTTAATCTACAGTTAGAGATATTTTGAAAATTGCGCTAATCTACAGTTTTTATAGGTGTTTTGAAAACAGAGCTAATATACAGGTTATTAGAGATATTTTTAAAATAGAGTTAATCTACAGTTAGAGATTTTTTGAAAATTGGCTAATCTGCAGTTATTTAGAGATATTTTGAAAATAGAGTTAATCTACAGTTAGAGATATTTGGAAAATTGCGCTAATCTACAGTTTTTATAGGTGTTTTGAAAATAGAGCTAACCTACAGTTTGATAGATATTTTGAAAATTGAGTTAATCTACAATTCATAGAGATATTTCGAAAATAGAGCTAATCGACAGTTTTATAGAGATATTTTGAAAATAATGCTATATAAAGTGTAAAACCGTTGAATAATTTTCGTCTTCAATCTATCTCTAAATTATAAAAGGCTCTGTACGAATTTTGCATTTCACAATTTTTCAAACTGATGAGAATGTAAAAAAATGTAAAAAATTCGAAGGAATATATTATAATAAACAACATAATTTCTTCCTTATTTAATATTTAAAAATATGTTCCCAGGTTCAAGCATTGTCTACAGTCTACTCGCCAAGTTTCATTTAATTCTAATCCATTTGTTATCAGATGGATGCTACAGATATAAGACATCTGATACCACAGATGAAACATACAAGATACCAGATTATACAGATTACACAGATAAGATATCAGATGTGACGGATAAGATAACAGATACTAAAGATTATGTACGATTAAACACCAGATACCATAGAATATAGAGATAAGACATCAGTTTGTACAGAAAGTGTAGAATTTTTTTTTCTCGATTTTATATTATTAGCAAAAATATATTGCGAAGTTTACTGCAAGCCAACTTTAGAATACAGTTTTGAAATAATGGAAGTTCTTAAAATTAATCAAAACATGGTTAGCCATTTTCTAGGTTTTTTTGTGCGGTAGAAATCCTCGAGTCGTTTGCTAGAAATAATACTGGCAGATTTCATGGATTTTTAAATACAAAAAGATTTAGAGATTCTTTTACAAAACAACGAAAGCACATTTTAAATTAAAAAATGCGAATGTTAATGTTTTGTCCTGTCTTGTTTGCTGAATTGTCAGATCTTGGTGACACGTAGCAGTTGGAGGCAAACAATTAAAACTATATAAAACCGGGATATAGCCAGAGAATAGAAATATAGAAATACTAGGCAATCCGGGCGCCATCTTGATTTTCAACATTTAATTGTTGATCAATCTTTTACCACTTTCTTCGACAATCAATAAAAATATATTTAAAGATTTACATTTTTAAAGTTAAAAAAAAATCAAAAATTTGTTAATCAATCTCTCTCGTTGGTCTACGAGGCATATGAATTAATCAGTTCAATCACACTTTGCTATTAATGTCAAACCACAAGATCTATCCGTACAATGCTTTACTATCAATGTAAAACAGGACACGACATATCCGTACAATGCTTTACTGTAACTGTCAAACAGGACACAATATATCTGTACAATGCTGTACTATCAATGTAAAACAGGACACGATCTATCTGTTCAGTACTTTACTATTACTGTCAAACAGGACACAATCTATCAACACAATTCTTCAATCAGGACACGATCTATCTATACAATGCTGTACTATCTATGTTAAACAGGACACGGTCTATCTATACAATGCTGTACTATCTATGTTAAACAGGACACGGTCCATCTATACAATGCTGTACTATCTATGTAAAACAGGACACGATCTATCTATACAATGCTGTACTATCTATGTTAAACAGGACACGATCTATCTAAACAATGCTGTACTATCTTATGTAAAACAGGGCACGATCTATCTATACAATGCTTCACTATCAATGTAAAACAGGACACGATCTATCTAAACAATGCTGTACTATCTTATGTAAAACAGGACACGATCTATCTATACAATGCTGTACTATCTATGTTAAACAGGACACGGTCTATCTATACAATGCTGTACTATCTTATGTAAAACAGGACACGATCTATCAAAACAATGCTGTACTATCTTATGTAAAACAGGACACGATCTATCTATACAATGCTTCACTATCTATGTAAAACAGGACACGATCTATCTAAACAATGCTGTACTATCTTATGTAAAACAGGACACGATCTATCTATACAATGCTATACTATCTTATGTAAAACAGGACACGATCTATCTATACAATGCTGTACTATCTTATGTAAAACAGGACACGATCTATCTATACAATGCTGTACTATCTTATGTAAAACAGGACACAATCTATCAACACAATTCTTCAATCAATGTCTAACAGAACACGATCTATCTATACAATGCTGTACTATATATGTAAAACAGGACACGATCTATCTATACAATGCAGTACTATCTATGTAAAACAGGACACAATCTATCAACACAATTCTTCAATCAATGTCTAACAGGACACGATCTATCTATACAATGCTGTACTATCTATGTAAAACAGGACACGATCTATCTATACAATGCAGTACTATCTATGTAAAACAGGACAAGATCTATCTATACAATGCTTCACTATCAATGTCAAACAGGACAAGATATATCAGCACAATTTTTCATTATCAATGTCAAACCGGACACGAGCTATCTGTATAATGCTGTACTATCTATGTAAAACATGACACGATCTATCTATACAATGCTTTACTATCAATGTAAAACAGGACACGATCTATCTATACAACGCTTTACTATCAATGTAAAACAGGACACGATCTATCTATACAATGCTGTGCTATCTATGTAAAACAGAACACGATCTATCTATACAATGCTTTACTATCAATGTAAAACAGGACACAATCTATCTGTACAATGCTTTACTATCAATGTCAAATAGGACACAATCTATATGTACAATGCTTTACTATCAATGTCAAAAAGGACACAATCTATCTGTACAATGCTGTACTATCTATGTTAAACAGGACACAATCTATCTGTACAATTCTTCACTATCTATGTAAAACAGGACACAATCTATCAGCACAATTCCCAATCTATGTCTATCTTTCAAGAAGGTGATTCAGGACGCTTCTCGTTTACAAAACAAGGAACAATTACACTTACTTGGTAATAATTCAAGAGTCTATTCCAACTGAATGTATTTTGGGTTCTATCTTTCTATCAAACAAAATTACAAGTTTTACGATGTTATATACAAGCGTAGTTAAGCTTATCAAAATACAGGTTTGACGTGGTACAGACGTAGCTAGGTTAGGTTAATCGCAATACAAGTTTTGCGTAGCTATTTACAAGCGCATTTAGATTTACAGACAATGTACAACGTAATTTATCTTATAGGTACTATGATATTTGCTACTCATTTGCTAGACATTCGACAACCCATGATAGATATCCTTTTTAATATTTCCTGAGGTCAAATTTTAAGAATTTGAACCTTGGCTCAAACATAATTGGTTCTATTTAAGAAATTGT